ATTGCGATGTCTCGCTCAGATCTGCCTGGTGCCTCGCTCCGCTGAACCCGCCACCAGCCTTCGGAAGTTGCGACGGTTTCGCAGATCGCAGCCCCCCAAGGAAGGCGAGGCCCCGCTCAGATCTGCGCGGTGCCTCACTCCGCTGGGCCCACCAGCAGCCCTCGAATGTGGGGACAATGTCGCAGATCGCAGCCCCCCAGGCACGGCGAGGTCCCGCTCAGAGCTGCGCGGTGCCTCACTCCGCTGGACCCACCAGCAGCCCTCGAAAGTGGCGACAGTTTCGCAGATCGCAGCCCCCCAGGCACGGCGAGGTCCCGCTCAGATCTGCGCAGTGCCTCACTCCGCTGGACCCGCCAGCAGCCTTCGAAAGTGGCGACAGTTCCGCAGATCGCTATGCTGGCCCCCAAAGCAGCCCTCGAAAGTTGCGACAGCTTCGCAAATCGCAGCCCCCCAGGGACGGCGAGGTCCCGCTCAGATCCGCGCGGTGCCTTACCCCACAGGACCCACCAGCAGCCCTCGAAAGTGGCGACAGTTTAGCAGATCGCAGCCCCCCAGGGATGGCGAGGTCCCGCTCAGATCCGCGCGGTGCCTCACTCCGCTGGACCCACCAGCAGCCCTCGAAAGCGGCGACATCTTCGCAGATCGCAACCCCAGAGGGACGGCGAGGTCCCGCTCAGATCTGCGCGGTGCCTCACTCCGCAGGACCCACCAGCAGCCCTCGAAAGTGGCGACAGATTCGCATATCTCAAACACAGCAAAGCAACAAAAAGCCCCCACAGCACGGCGAGTCCACCGCACAGATACCGCCGTGCCACACCCCGCTGGACCCACCCATCTGTCTCCGAAAGAGCGGCCGACAGATCGCAGATCGCACCCCCCAGGCACGGCGAGGTCCCCGCTCAGATCCGAGTCCCCGCTCAGATCAGCGCGGTGCCTCAACACCGCAGGACCCACCAGCCCCTCGAAAAGCTGCGACAGCTCCGCAGATCGCAGCACCCCTGGACAGGACGGCGAGGTCCCGCTCAAATCAGCGCGTGCCTCACTCACTCCCCGCAGGACCCACCAGCAGCCCTCGAAAGTGGCGACAGTTTCGCAGCTCGCAGGCACCAAGGACGGGGAGGTCCCGCTCACATCCGCGCGGTGCCTCACTCCGCAGGACCCACCAGCAGCCCTCGAAAGTGGAGACAGCTTCGCAGATCCCAGCCCCCCAGGGACGGCGAGGTCCCGCTCAGATCTGCGCGGTGCCTCACTCCGCTGGACCCACCAGCAGCCCTCGAAAGTGGCGACAGCTTCGCAGATCGCATCCCCCCAGGGACGGCGAGGTCCCGCTCAGAGCCGCGATGTGCCTCACTCCGCAGGACCCACCAGCAGCCCTCGAAAGTGGCGACGGTTTTGCAGACCGCAGCCCCCCCAGGGACGGCGAGGTCCCCCCAGCGAGGTCCCGCACAGATCCCGCGTGCCTCACTCCGCATAGCCCCCTCAGGGACGGCGAGGTCCCGCACAATCCGCGCGGTGCTTCACTCATCCGCAGGGGCCCGTCAGCACCCTCGAAAGGTCGACAAACGTTCGAAAATCGCAGCCCCCCAGGGACGCGAGGTCCCGCTCATATCCGCGCGGTGCCTCACTATCCGGCAGACCCACCGCACCTCGAAGTGGCGAAAGTTTTGCAGAACGCAGCCCCCCAGACGGCAGTCACCGCACAAACCGCGCGGTGCCTCACTCCGCTGGACCCACCAGCAGCCCTCGAAAGTGGCGACAGTTTCGCAGATCGCAGCCCCCCAGGGACGGCGAGGTCCCGCTCAGATCCGCGCGGCGCCTCACTCCGCAGGACCCACCAGCAGCCCTCGAAAGTCGCAACAGGTTCGCAGATCGCAGCCCCCATCGTCGGCGAAGAGAGGGCAGGAGGAAGCGGGAGGGGGGGCGGGAGAAGGGACGCGACCACCGTGCTCTATTCAAAACGAATACCCAACCAGGAAGGGTTGCGAAACCCTGTGTGTGTAGGTTGTTTGAACATTCGATTTTGAAATCTTTCCGACACCGAAGGTTTGAGAAGGATTTCGGCATGCGCGCGCGACGACGTGCGCGTGTGCATTTCGTCATATCGTTTGCAGGGGATTCTTGAAAAAAGGACCACGAAACGATGTACTGGGCGCGGGGGACGCATGTGGACGGTAGCACTGGGACCTTCAGTGGGGCCCCCTATGAGGCCACGAAACGTGTGAGGGGTGTGCTGAAACGGGTGATGATGATGATGATGATGATGATGATGATGATGCTGATGATGCTGATGCTGATGCTGATGCTGATGCTGATGTTGATGCTGATGCTGATGATGATGCTGATGCTGATGCTGATGATGATGCTGATGATGATGATGATGGTGATGATGATGATGATGATGATGATGATGATGATGATGATGATGATGGTGATGATGGTGATGGAGGGAGGAGAGAAAGGAGGAGGAGGCGGAAGAGGAAGAGGAGGAGGAGGAGAACGCGGGGACCGCTATTGAAAACGAGGACCCAGCACCACAGGATGGTTGGAAAAATCTTAAAAACATGAATAATAATGATAACGATAACAATGAAAATAAGAATAGTAATAGTAATACTAATAATATTGATAAGAATAATACGAATAATAATAATAAAAAATGATAATAATAATAATAATAATTATAATAATAATGATACGAATGCGAAAGATAATAAGAAATATACGAATACGCATGATGATAAATTATACGACCCTCCCTCCCCCCTCCCCCCCCCCAAAAAAAACACGAGAAATCGTCCCCAGACCATATTTTCAACTAGTCTGGACCAGTCCTCCCGTCGATGGGACATGCCCGACTGAAGACACGGACCAGGAGCCCGGGGCCGCGCCGCGGGCTGCACGGAGGAGGAGTGGGCGGCCCCTCTCCCTCAAAAAGCGAGGGGGGGCCGCGGGGCGCCCACGGCCGAGGGGTGCACGCGGCCCACCTCCGTCGCCGCCCCCCCTGCAGCTCGAGGGATGGCGAGATCGCGCCTCTCGGAGCGGAGCTCCCGCCCCCAAAGGGGGTGGGGGGGCGGAGTGGGGCGCTCGTCGTCCAAAGGGGACCGCGCTGCGCAGGGATAGGGCGACGCAATCTATACATATCCACTGCTCCCTGGCCAGACCCATCCTGAACACAGCAGCTGTGTATACGCCACGCCCTCCTGGTTTGGCCAGGAGGGCGTATACACAGCTCCTGGGTTCAGGATGGGCCTGGCCAGGGAGCAGTGGATATGTATAGATTTCGTCCCCCGAAGGGAGGAGCAGTGCCTGCAGGGGCTCATTGAGGAGGGGCTCGGGACAGGAAGGCGTGCTGCGGCATCGCTGCGATGTCTCTTGGGCTTGCTCTGATGGCCCCCCTCCCTCCCCGTTCCCCTTTTATATCGGGCTCGAGCCGAACAGGGTTCTTCGTCGTCGCGTTGCGTTCGTTGTCCTTCGTGCTGCCTTCGTTCTGCCTTTGCTGCGAGACGCATTCAAAACGAAAACGGTCCACGAGATCGCCAAAACACCGTTTAACTCGGGCCCTGCCCTTATCCTCCCCTCCTCCTCCCCGTCCTCCCCCCCTCCCGTGGTGCGCGCTTATTCTGCAGGTCAGGGCTTGAGAGCAGAGCATTGAAGAAGACACCACAGACGCGTTAGGGGCCGAATGTGTGCGTAAACTCCCCGTGCTACCATCAGACGAGCGCGTTCCACTACTCGCAAAAGTAACCACTCGCAAATGGCCTGGATCCGCCGCGGGCAATCTACGATCCACGGCATCGAGGCAGATATGTGTTCATTGGACGTTTGCGAGTAGGCACTTTGCGAGTAGTGGATCTCGCGCGGTGACCCATAAAGTTAGGTCGGGCATGTCACCCTGTAGGCGGGTCTTGCATGAAATAGAAGAAGTGGCCCAAGAATATTCGAACAGGGTCAGAAATACCCAAAAAATCGTCCCCTGACTATGCTTTTACGATTTTCCTGTGGAGCCACAGGCCCGACTTCACCATAACGAAGCGAGACCCCCTCGAGCAATGAAAACATCATGGCGGGAGGTTTTTTGTCATTTTCGGCATCGGGGGGCCCTCACCCGGCCTCGGGACCCTCAACACGACGACGCAGGATGAGAAACCGGTCCCGGGGAATGGGTCGAGACCTCTGGGGGTCGATGTTGTGAAAAAATCACGACGTCGGGGTTCTGGGCGCCCTGCAGTGCTAAGAGGCGGGGCTTACAACCCGAAGATCCTGGCGACTCCATTCTTCCGAGTTGGGCGTCGTCGCGCAGTTTACGAATGAGGAGCGAAGGCGCTTTGCCGGCCACGGCAAGCCACGGCCACGAACAAGCTCCCCGCCCTGGCTCCGAGGACCGGCCCGAGCACCAGAGGAGCCCCTCCTGAGCCCAGGAGGGGGCCCTTCTCTCGGCGTCCTGCCTCCTCCTCCTCCTCCTCCTCCTCCTCCTCCTCCTCCTCCTCCTCCTCCCTCCTCCCTCCTCCTCCTCCTCCTCCTCCTCCTCCTCCTACGCGTTCTCCTCCGCCTCCTCCTCCTCCTCCTCCTCCTCCTCTCCTCCTCCCTCCTCCTCCTCCTCCTCCTCCTCCTCCTCCTCCTCCTCCTCCTCCTCCTCCTCCTCCCTCCTCCTCTCCTCCTCCTCCTCCGCCTCCTCCTCCCCTCCGCCTCCTCGCTCCTCCTCCTCCCCCCTCCCTCCACCTCCTCCTCCTCCTCCTCCTCCTCCTCCTCCTCCTCCTCCTCCTCCTCCTCTCCTCCTCCTCCTCCTCCTCCTCCTCCTCCTCCTCCTCCTCCTCCTCCTCCTCCTCCCTCCTCCTTACCCCTCCCCCCTCCTCCTCCCCCTCCTCCTCGCTCCTCCCCCCTCCCCCTCCTTATCCTCCTCCTCCTCCCTCCTCTCCTCAATCCTCCTCTCTCCTCCTCCTCCTCCTCCTCCTCCTTCCTCCTACTCCTCCTCCTCCTCCTCCTCCGCCTCCGCCGCGCTCCTCTTGTGGCCGCGGCAGCGGGTGCCGCCGGCTGCTCGGAGTCGCCCGCCGCGTCGTCGCCGCCACCACCGCCGCCCGCCTGCCGGAATGTGAGGCGTGGGGGGCGGATGAGGAGGAGGAGGAGGAGAAAGAGGAGGAGGAGCAGGGGAGGAGGAGGAGGAGGAGGAGGAGGAGGAGGAGGAGGAGGAGAACGAGGAAGAGGAGGAGGAGGAGGAGGAGGAGGAGGAGGAGGAGGAGGAGGAGGACGAGGCGGAGGAGATGGAGGAGGAGGAGTAGAGCAGGGGAGAAGGAGCAGAGGAGGAGGAGGAGGAGGAGGAGAGGAGGAGGAAGGAGGACGAGGAGGAGGAGAAGGGGGGAGAGGGGAGTGGGGAGGGGTGTTAGAGGGGAGGAGAGGAAGAGGAGAGGAAGAGGAAGAGAGGAGGAGGAGGAGGGAAGAGAATGTATGGAGAGGAGGGGGAGGAGGAGCAGGACGAGAAGGGGAGGAAGAGGAAGGAGGAGGGGGAGTGGGCTGGCCATTGCGAGAGGCCGCCTCAGGCTTCATCGGCCAATGCCCGCTGCGGACTTCCTTCCTCCCATGCAATCAGGAAGCCTCCTAACTAACCCCCCGGGGGAGGAGGGAGTAGGGAGTAAGAGGAGGAGGAGGAGGAGGAGGAGGAGGAGGAGGAGGAGGAGGAGGAGAAGGAGTCCATAGCCATCTCGGCTCAAGTCCGGCTGCCTCCCGCAGCCCAAGGCCCCCATGAGATTCGACGTCACGACGAAACTGCAGCATCGTGGAGAATCACGGCCGCCCCGTTTCCTGCGTCATCTGTCGGCCCGGATCGATCTGTGAGGGCCCCGGCGCCCAAAGCTGGGCGAAAAAGCCCAGCGTGAAAACAAACTGCAACGCCCGGGTCTCCCGGGACGTGTGGAGGAGCGCCGGCCAGCCTGGGGGCTCCCCGCGGGGCCAGGAGCTGCGGGCGGAGCAGTGCTGCGCTGCAGAGACGCCGCCGCGGCTGGGCAAAGCGCGGCTGGGACGTGTGCGGCGCTCGCCGCCGCCGCAGCGCTGCGGCTGCAGTGGCGCATTGGTCGATCGATGGTCGAGGCTGGAAATCGCTCGAGGAGCGAGCGATGGACCGATGGATCGGTCGATCGAGGATCGGGCACTCCTCCTCCTCCTCCTTCTCCTCCTCCTCCTCCTCCTCCTCCTCCTCCTCCCGCCTCCTCCTCCCCTCCTCCTCCTCCTCCTCCTCCTCCTCCTCCTCCTCCTCCTCCTCCTCCTCCTCCTCCTCCTCCTCCTCTTCCTCCTCCTCCTCCTACGCCTCTGGGGGCGGAACGGCATGCTTGGCATCGCACATTCTGCGGATCTCTGCTACGCTCCCGCTGCCGCTGATCGCTGCGTTGCCTCCTGCGGGATGCGGATCTGAGGGGGCATCATCTGTTGCACACCCAGCATCATCGGATGAGATGGGGGGGCAACGCAAGACTACGAGGCACGACCGCTGGGCCCTCAATTCGTCACGCAGCCGTGTCACGGGTAGCACTGGCAGGACAGGACCCATGGACTGATCATCTTTGGGTCCAGTCCTTGCATCGGCCTGCCAAACATGTACGTGGCAGCGGTGAACTCTGAGCGCCTGGGGCACCAATTACGCAGGCGACTGACATCTGCGGAAGAAGTACGAGCCGCATGACTTATGGAGCAGAAGCCTACCAAAACACGCACAACTGCAGGGCCAAAGCTTCATGACGAATAGCGGGGGAGAAATGCTCCGATATCTGTTGCGTGCACGCCGTCAGTAGCCAGGCTGGCGCAGCAGAGCCGCGCTCAAGGGACGACACGTCGGCATCGAAATGTCTTCGATCGTCCTGCTCGATTGTCTTAACTTGATCGGGAAGCGGGAGCAAGTTCCTGGCCTAGTCCGTGGTGGCGGCCGTGACGGCGACGACGACGACGACGACGACGACGACCACCACGACGACGACCACGACGACGACGACGACGACGACGACGACGACGACGACGACGACGACGACGAAATGGCAGCGGCGGCGGCGACGAAGACGGCGGCGATGGCGACGGCCGCCGTCGCCGCCGCTGTCGCCCCCGCGCCTCTCAGAAGCCGCCGTCGCCACCGTCCTCGTCAGCGCTACCGTCGCCGTCCTCCGACGCGTCGCGCCATCGCCGCGGCGACGGCGGCGACGGCGGCGACGGCGCGTGCGCGCGAAAGCAGGTCCGGCGCGGCGGCAATGGGAAACGGGAGTAAAATTTTTGCTCGCAAGTCCCCAGCCTCGTCCGTGGCGGCGGCCGTGGCGTCGAGCTCCTCGCCCTGCTCGTCGCCCTCGTCCTCTGCGTCCTCCGCCTCCTCCTGGGGCGCTCGGCGCGGCCGCGCGGGCAAGCCAGGTCGTCGTCGACGCCACCGACGCCGCCGTCGTCGTCGTCGTCGTCGTCGTCGTCGTCGGCGTCGTCGTCGTCGTCCGTAGCCATTTTGGCTCAAGATGATTGTGCTTCGGGGGCTCCGCGCCTCCGTGCCAAAGGGAAGCTGCTAGTCCGCAGCCGGTTTTCAGTGCTTTCGGCGCGCGAGCGCCACTCCATATCTCAGCCATGGCGCCTCCTCCTGCTCGCGGCGGTGGCGGCGACCCTGGCGGCGGCTGGAAGCGGCAGCCGTGGATCCAGACTTGGCCCTGGCGTCGCGGAGTCCAGGGAGGCGGCGGAGGGGGTCAGAAGGCGCACTGCCAGGTGTGCAGCGAGTGGCTCTTCGTGGCTCGGTTGGCGGAGGCATCCTTCAAGTGCAAGTGTGGCGCCAGCCAGCGGGGGGCGGGACCACCAGCGGGAGCGAGCTTCAACTTCTCGCAAGGAGGAGGAGTTCGTGACGACGGAGGCTGGCCAATCCTCTCGGCTGGGAAACGTCGCGAGAGGCCAGATACCGACGGAGGCCATGCGGGAGGAGATGAGACACTCCAGCTGCTTCAGAGGGCAGCTGCCATGGCCGACGACACGGTCAAGAGCAAGATTGGACATCTCCTCGCCGAAGCTGCACCACCACCTGCAGCACAGTAGCAGCCGCTACCTGGTTCCCGAGCTGCGCTACGGCAAGCCGAAGACCAAGTGCAGAAGTGCCAGGCAACCCACCAGAAGGCCTACCGCAGGCGAGAGAGGCTCCGTGAGGAACTACACCAGGCGGAGCTCGATTTCCAGCAGCGGACGGCGGATGTGGTCGCAGCAGAGGCGAAGGTCCAAGAAGAGCTCCGGCGACATCCTGTCGGCGGCGGCGATGTGGGAGGAGCATCACAACCTCAGCGGCCACAGCCACCGATCGCAGCCCTCATGGCGGATCAGGAGATCGACGTCGACATGGGTGACATCTTCGCAGTGGCCAGCGGCGAGATCAGCGAGGAGGATATTGCTGATATCGAGCGGCGCAAGAAGGATTTCGTCACTCAGGTCAAGGCGGCGGCCAAGGCCGCCTCCGCTGCAGCGGCTGAATCACTCGAAGCATCCAAGCAAGCGGAGGTCGAGCTCATGGACAGGATCAAGAAGAGGAGCAAGGTCGACAGAGCATCACCCGGGGACGAAGCACACGCAGCGCCTGCGGACGAAGCCCCACCCCAGCCTGCAGGCACTCCCTCCAGCGGCGGCCACTCGGGCAACGTCGGCGGCCTGCCTGGTGGACAGCCAGCGCGGCCTGGAGCGGAGGGCCTGGACGCTAGGACCGCCAAGGAGAAGGACCTGGCGGCGGCCATCGAAGCGTGCGGGGCCAAGGGCACGGGCGAGAGCCGCGGCGCGACGGGCTCCTGGCGACCATCCCATTTTCACGCAGAACCTGTCGACATGGGGGCCGAGGCTCAAGAGGAAGATCGGCACGCTCAAGCACGACATCGTGGTCTTCCCCGAGACGCACGCCGGGGCGGGCGGCACGAACGACATCTTGGAGCACCTGGATTTCAAGGGCTGGAAGGCAGTGGGGTCGCCTTCGCGAGCCCACCAGTGCAGCAAGCTGGCGGGAGGCAATGGCTTGGCGACCCGTGCCCATCTTTCAGTGACATGATTGCGCGACCTAGCCGCCAAGAATGAGCAGATGGTCGGGCTGAGGGTTCTTGACGAGAAGGAGTGAAGTCCTGGGCCCATCGACTTCCAGGACATGGTTGCAGTCGACAGGTGGTGGAGGGGGCAGTCTATCCTAGTGGTGGGTATGTACCTGGCGTCATCGGTTGGCGTGCGCAACAAAATGGACCAGAGTAAGCGTGCTAGGCTGGCAGCTATCACAAGGGGTCATGACGGGCCCGAGGCAGCGATTGGCGACTGGAACACAGAGCCCAGCCACTTGCGGCAAACGGGCTGGCTCGGCGTGCTCAACGCGACCATCAGGACGCCTGAGGACGTGGACTACACCTGTACGCGAAGCCCCTCCAGGATGCTGGACTACGTGGTGTGGTCAGAGACGTTCTGTACGGTCTTGGACAAAGTGGTGTCTGACCAGGTGGACCCGGGCGACCACTACGGAGCGCGGCTCCACCTGCGAGGAGATCCGCTCATTGCAGTCCAGAGGGGCCTCAAGCTCGTTCAGCCCTTTTCGCTACCCCTGCCCAGGAGGAAGGCGGACCCTAACAGCAAGCGCAGCAGGCAGAAGGCTAAGAAGCAGGTGGAGGACCCCGAGCGCGGGGAGCAGAGCGCAGCGGATGGCGCGGCCCCAACTCCAGAAGGGGAAGCGCATCCGAGAGAGGTCTCCAAGCGCAAGCCAGTTCGTTGCGCAGGGCTGCCCAAGGAGCGCAGGGTCAGAGACGAGATGGAGGACTTGCTGGCGGGCTTCACAGCCGTGCTCGGGGAGATCACCATGGAGCTCCCTGCGTAGCAGTCGAGGGCCACCCGGTCCTGGAGGGCATTCACGAGAATCACGAAGGAGAAGAAGGCCGAAGGTGAGACTGAGCTCCGCGGAGCAGTGCAGGCCAGGCCGCCTCTCGGGCGTCGCTCGGGCCTGCCCTCCAGGGTCCTCGTGAAGAAGGCGGCGATTGCTCGAGGAGCACAATCCCGCCAAACGCACCTCCCCAGGCTGGAGAGGCGCCATGGTATTGCTAGATGGCATTAGTCAGTCCCGCCGGCTCCAGGCCGGGATGTACACCATCGAATGGGGAACCGGAACTGCTTCCCTTCCACACCGTACCCATCCAAGTCGAAGAATCCAACCTGCCGACTCCTCGGGGGCGGTCGCCATCTCTGTGAAGAGACGGAGGACTTGTTCGGCGAGTACGAGTCAAGCATAGAGGACGACGAGATCAGCGAGAACTCCGAGGGCGAGGAGGTGAAGGCTAAGCCTCGCTCGGCGGAGGACGCGTTCGACCTAGAGGTTGCCGAGCGGGACAGCCTGTGGCAGATCAAGATGAGCCAGGCCGTTTCGGAGGACCGCGCTGCTTGGAGGCGCTCTCCTGAATGCGTCGAGCAGTCTGCAGCACCCCAGTTCGACGAGGGGGCCGCGAAGGAGCTGGGTGCACAGTACGGAGCCTGGATGCACGCGCGCGAGCAGCACTGCGTCACGATGCTGCAGGCGCACCCCGACAAGAGGAGGAATTGCTGCAGCAGAGGCGAGGAAGTCCGCATCACCAACTTCACGGCAGCATCGTCAACAGTAGTCAAAAGATATCGTCATCAGGCTATGGCTTGACTGTTTTTGAACAGTCCTCCTGCAGAGGGACATACCCGCCTTAATGCAAGTGTCGAAATGCTTACACAACCGTAGCCTTTGGAAGGATGTCGACGTGCGCGCGCGCGACAAACGCGCGCGCGCGTGCGGCCCAGCATGGCAGTATCCGACGGACTCCACGGGTGCACGAGGACTGTCGGATGCCTTCGACATGCGCGCGCGCAGCCCACATGGTCGAATTTCGATGGGCCTATTTTCCACCACCACCACCACCACCACCATAAGTTGGAAGGGGAGGAGGTCCTCCTCCTCCTCCTCCTCCACCTCCTCCTCCTCCTCCTTCTCATCCTCGTCCTCCTCCCCCTCGTCCTCCACCTCCTTCCCCCCTCCAACTAACTCATGGTAGTGGTGGTGGAAAACAGGCCCATCAAATTCAGCAGGACGGCAAAACACTTCTTCCGTCGGCGGCGAGGCGGGGCAACCCGCACCAGCGAAGGAGCGAAGCAAAGGCACTGCTAAGCTGACTGTCCGGCGCGCAAACGAGCGGAAGGAGGACGATGGGGGCCGCGGGCGGAAGGGAGGGAGGAGGCGCTCAGAGGCGGAAGAATTCCACCATGAGCGGACCGGGGCGGCAGGACGGCAGGTCTTATGATTTCAGCGAGCGCGCGGGCAGGGAACCGGCAATCTGTCGTGGCCGAACTAATGGCTCGACAGCTTTTGAAGAGGAACGGCTTGCAGTTGTTAGGGACAGCTGCTGACATGCGCCGCGCGGGGGCGCGCGCATGTGGCACCGTAGGGCACAATTGAAACATCAACGCGTTTGCGCCCGTCTGGCTGAACAGTGGTGTCAATACCAGTTGGACCGAGATTATATTATTCGATTGATGGAACAAAAAACGCTATCATGAGCCCTCGTCCAGAATAGAAATGAAACACACAAGATACGGAAGCGAGCGAACCACCCTGGCCTCGGTGGACACGGTCAAGAACTTTTGCGTAGCTTGTCGCGCCGGCGACCCCCGCGACACGCTATGCCTTGCAAGCGGATAGCGTGTCGATCCGCTCCGCGGGGCGGGAGGCTGTGAACAGCTCGGGACGCTGACGCTTGGGAATGGGGAGGTGGATAGCGTGTCGCGCCGAAGCGCGGTGGGCCAGACCTGGTGGAGCCGAAAATGTTCTACGAAAAGGAATCGACGTGCTGCAACCAGAAACTAGTGAAACCAGAAGGTACCGATGCTGCTACTCCCCGGATCTCTCCTGGGGCACGTTCTGACCAGAATTTGAAGGCGAAACCAGCGGTGGCGACGAGGGCCTTCTAGAAGGCCCCAAAGGGGGAAAACGAGTGAAGGTTAACGTTACGGGTACCGTTCCCTCCTCTGAGAAGCGCCCGCCAGCGCACTGGGGCGGCCTCACGGCCGAAAGTAAGGACGGGTGGGCACAAACACAGCGACCGAGGCCAACGACGTTCAAAACGCGTTGACATTTCGAGCGAAAATCGAAACGGAACAGAACGTCTAAAACGAACGCTTAGAACGAAACCAGTACCAAACACAAACGACACCGAAACGAAGCGCACTACAGTCGGACCCAGGTCAGAAGAACACCCCTCAAGAACACGAGACACTCCGCCGGCCCAAACGCAAAGAACATCCTAGGGTACCCTCCCCAGGATGCACAAAAACCGGAGGGTTCCAATTGGGGTTTTTGGGGAGGGGGCGTTCCAGAGAGCC